TTGTGTTTCTACTCAAAGATATTTTGAGAAATAAAGTCATCAGTAAAAACAATAATAATGACATGAAACACAATTATCAGTTCATATTGGAAATTAGTTTAGAAATTATTAAAAAAAAACAAAAAAAACAGACGCAAATTGGGACGGATGGTGATCCACTGGAAATTGTTCAAGCTGTTTGGATTTCACCATGCAGACAATATCCGGAATTTTTCCTGGAATTTATGAGAACGTTGCAAGTGAATTCAGAATAGATGTGTAAAATTGGTGTGGCAATCATTTAAAATTCCTCATAGGTATTTGAACAGTGGGAAATTTCGATATTAAAGAATAATTAACTCTATTTAGAAATATGCATTACAGTCTATTAAAGATCTTTAACAGGAAAATTAACATTTTAAGTACGTTTGTAACCATCCTTACATTGAAAATGCTTGGAAATGTTTGAACATGATTACCATGAACCCTGTAAGTTTTAAAGAGGATTACCATGAACCCTGTAAGTTTAAAGAGGATTACCATGAACCCTGTAAGTTTAAAGATGATTACCATGAACCCTGTAAGTTTTCAAGAGGATTACCATGAACCCTGTAAGTTTAAAGAGGATTACCATGAACCCTGTAAGTTTTCAAGAGGATTACCATGAACCCTGTAAGTTTTCAAGAGGATTATCCTTCTTCGAACCACGTTCGCTTATGCTACAGAATTCCAAACAACGAACTGTACTAAATAACACAGTGAGCGCGTCACTTAAGGTCTTTAACTAGAGCAACAACTGAAATGGATATCGTATGGAACTCGACGTGAAAATAATGGCATAATCAAGATGTTATCATTTCACACTCCACCATACAAAATGTTAGGAAGAAATATCAGTATTACAGGGAGCCCAGTAAAAAAAAAGCGGTCAATTCCGAAAGACGAGAGACAACCTTTGAGAACTGGTGACGACTGATATGGCCGAATAATTCAGGACGATTTTCTACACATTTTGTCAATCCTCGCATTAGATGTTCTTTGAAAATTACGATAACTTGACGCTTAAACTCATTCAGTTGTTTAGCCATACGAGAAGGTCAGAACGAAAAACGAAACTTGTCTGCAAATACCGTTTAAGTGACGATCACAAGATCGAGCAGCAATTAATCACTCATAAAAGAACCAATCAGAGTCGAATGATTATTCAACGTCATGAATATTCAAGAAATTTATTCAAGTTTATTCAAGGTCAATTATTCCTGAAAGATAAAACGGTAATAATAAATTTGTCGTATTTTTACTTGGCTGCCTTTAGAAGAAAGCATTGTTCAACCAATACAATATCCAAGTCCCACTCAAGGTAGAGGTTACTGAATGAGGTGTGAATATTAGACGAATATTGGGGATGGATAACTGTTGACTATACTAGAAGAGTACAATATTGTGACAATTAGAAAGAAGCTGAGTGGAATATCCTTATTAATTGAATAAGTAAGGAATGACGGTTGAAGTAATAAAAAATATGTTACATGTTATTTCCGATTTCACAATTGAATACGTGGTAGATGCTACTCAGCTTCTGTGCATATACATGTTTGTATATTATTCGGACTATTGCACTCGAAGGATACATGGCACAGTGGATAAAGGTGTTAGTTAGATTCAATGACAGGACCCAAAGAGTGTGAGTTCAATACCCGTCTAATGCAGTGGAGAACTTTCAGAGGAAAATTAACAGGAGATAACTGATAACTGACATCCATTAAACATGGCACGTGGAACTAGAACAGTCTACCCTATTGAGCGAAATAAAGGGTTCCGTTTGACATTCCAACCACCGGAAGAAGGCCGGAGCGTACAACGGCCGAAACGTTGTGATAAATATGGCGAAAAAGATGAGGACAATAGTCTGAATAATGTAAATAATATACATAATACCTCACCTCAGAAATATAGACAGATACATGTTTGTGTAGACATACTAGAGGTGGTAATATGTGTGTTTTATGGTGTAGTTTTGTTGAAGTTATATATTCAAATATAGTTTGATTTTTTTAAGAACTTGTAGAATTCTATATAGATTAATGTCTTGAAAGAGTTCGTTCATGTTGGTTGTTTGATTGATTTCGTTTAGCGACATATCAACATCTATGAGTTATTTCATGGCGAAATCTAAATATTTTTAGTGCAATTGTATGTCTCCAACTACAGATAAAATGTACTCTTGGTTATTTTACTAGAAATACGTATTGTTGGTCTTATAGAAAATGTATTGCTAGTATGCTTACTATAAAAATGTATTTTTATATTTTCATAGTTTTTTGATTTTGTTTGAGGATTCGCTACTTACCTCTAGCTGGGATCCTTATAGGTGCTACAACCCCGAATCTAGGTAGGCAAGGAACAACGGCAGTTAAGAGGGGACTCCCCGATCCTTAAGACCTTCAATTTCTGATTAGAGGCCTTGCTGTTATAGTTTATCCTCATACCCAGGACTAGCTTCAGAATAAGGATAGGATTGAGATGTTAACCCCTTACCCCCCGCACACACACACACACATTGGAAATTTGAAGAAATTTACTGTGACTCATTCTTCAGCAATAACTACCAGACAGTAAGTGTGAAAATGCATGAACTACTACTGCTACTAATACGACTAATACTAATACTGCTTCTATAATACAGGTAATAATAATAATAATAATAATAATAATAATAACGCTGTATTTTCTTGTGTATTTTGCAGTTAATCTCACTTACTTACTTTCCTGAAACCGCTACTAGGAGACGTTTTCTGAACTATATGTATACACTAAGGTTTTTTTTTCTCACTGTCTCGTTACCTTTTCTTCTTATAGCCAACATGTAAGTCTCTCGTGGAAAAGTTGTTTCCCATTGGGAAACGTAGGGACACACACAACACACACACATACACACCCGCGCGTACACTTTTTCATTCATTTCACAACCTTTGAACTTTAAATGTTTTCACATTTTTTATACACATAATTGTCTTTGTTACTTGTATAGCTTTCTTGTTAATACATTATCATTTGTTTGGTTTTTGTTGTTTCTTTGTATTTTATCATAGCGGATACAAATGCAAGTCCTCCAATTTTGTTGTGGGTATTACAGGAGATGTGTGTTTTTCTAACCTAAACACTCGACATACATAAAACCCGTATAATTGAGTATAATACGACATCGTACTACAACCATCACTATGTATTGGGGGATGTACTCTAATATCCATTAAAATCTCATTGTGATACTAAAATATTTAATTTTTCACGATATTAAAGACTAAAAATGAACAAGATGTTTAACTATTGCGTGCTTCCTCTCTTTTCCGCTTCAAAACTTATTTTCGAGGAAAGGCGCTAATTTGACGTACTCGGAAATACATTTTCAGGTTTTACTTAATCTATCATACTTTTCTGCTTGATATGATTTTATTATCTTTCTATATATTAATAAACTATGAAAATAAGAAACTAGTGTCTTTCATTAAGAATGAAGAAAGAAACAA